CTCTATCCTTCGCTCAATCACTGGGCGGCCGCACCATTTACACCTGACATATTAAGCGTTTTTTTCCCCATTTGCATATAAAAAAAAAAAAAATAATAAAAACTGTCCGACGTTGCTCTTTCAAACGTCTAAAAACCCACCCGCTTTGCCGCAATTACGGTAATGCACTGATTGCCGGATTATGCCGCGTTTTAGTGACACATTAGCATAATTGTTCTTGCGTCGACGCGGCCCGTGGGCTGCTGGAAGCATTAACAGCTTTGGGAGGAGGAGACTGAGCCATTTATGCCATGGTTTTTTTTTCCTGTTTTGTTCTTTTCTATCAATTTTTTTGTCTCTTTTTTAAAGAACAAATGACAGCCTGCGTGCCAAGGCTGTGTGGGCGAAAGCAACATGTCCGAAACATCAAATCATTGTCTTTGTCTTTCTAGAAATGCTTAAAAACTCTGACTGCTGGGATGTGTGCAGGTTTGCAATCAGGATTAAAGAAGAAGTATGATGCAGGATTTGTTGTTATCAAAACGTGCTCTTGACACTATTTACTAAGCTTTCCTTGTTTTTAGAATGTGAAACAGAAATAACAGACTTTGATCACATGTTTTTTACATTATTAGCATTTTTAGACATTATTACAGTAGAAATCTGCCAATCATATATTAGTGTGACAATGCTAGAATTTGAACTGACGTTTGCTTCGTTTTGATTTAGATAAAAAAAAAAAAAAGAAAAAACATTTTGAAGTGCTTTTTTACTGCTCTAGTCTCTGCTCAAGGGAAATGCTAGCACAAATGCGACTAAAATGCCTAAATGCTAACTACCTGAAGAACAACATTACCATCATTCTTGGCATTTTTAACCTACAATCTAAACGTTATTATTTTAATACTTTTTTTTGCAGTAGTTTGAAAACGACGGCTGTGACTTTTTTAGGTATAAAGTTATCTCTTATAAAGCTATTTGAGCTCATTTTAGTCTTGACCATATTTACATTGACTTTCCATTACTTTAATATAAATACCACTGAATGTTTGTTCCATTTTTTTCCAGTTTAAAATGAAATGTATCGGATTATATTTCAAGCATACAAAGCTTAGCAAATATATTTTTTTCAGTAGAAAGTATCAAATCATAGCAATGAATTTGAAATGTTTTGATTACATAAGAAAAAGCCAGTCCAATTTCTTATGTTAATCGCACACAGTGGATAAGAAAAAAAATCGGACAGATTTTGAACTGGCTTTTACTGCCTGAGACTCTGCTCATCTTTGGCAATTTCAACCCACAAATGAACCTGCGTTACGTGTTTTATTCAGAAAGCAATGATATCACATGACAATAGACATTATTAAGGGGTTTTGTTGAAATGCCCGCATAAGATAATTGCCTCATGCAAGCTTGTGTTCAAAATCAGCCTCTTCCACTAAGGCTGACACTTTGTGATGTCACACTGGGTCAATCCACTCCTAAAGAGGCTCTGACACGGACAAAAACATGTAGCACTGTAAGAGCATGTGTGGCTTCTAATCAAAATAATATATTCTGATTCAGAGCCAATATTTCTTTTTTTTTTTTTTAAATAGAAATTAGCTCTATCAGAATGGGGGGATGTTTATGTTGCCAAACACATCTCCAGGTCTATTTTGTTGGAACCTGGTGAAAGAGCATTTTGCATGATAAGAATCAAAAATTGCATTATCAATCGAACCCACTGAACTCGTAATAATTTCCTATTTTGATGTTTTTTTTATTATTGACTATTGAAAACCATGCGATTGTTTTACAGCGGTACATTCAGTCCCAAAAAGTGGGGATCGTCAGAACAATGGCAGCTTAAATGCAGGAGGAGACTAAACATTCAAAAATACCAAATACAACTTCACCCAGGAAAATTAAAATTGAAACTATTGAAAACGATTAAAAGCTCTGAAGAGTCCAGTGTATTCCATTCAAGAAATAGCTTTTCTATCGACATTATTGATGCTAAGCTATTATTACCTTTAAATAAACCAAGACAGACCAGTTATACAGAGTTAGCCAACACCGACTGCTTTTATGGAGTCACATGGCACAGAGCTAATGCATAGCATCTCTATAATGCTCAGGGAGGAAGCCAAAGAATGTATCCTAAACTGCACTCTCTCTCTCCCCCACCTCCTGCATGTGTCTCTCACCCCATCGCACATACCAGCAACTGAAGAATGTGCCCCCCCCCATCCCCCCCATCCCCCTGCTTTCCTCTTTTGTGAATGAGCTCAATATATGGCTGTTGAAAAAAACATAATACGTTTGTGTAAAATGGTCTCTCTCTAGTCTGTCTGAATGTGGTCTCTCTCTCTCTGGTCTGTCTGAATGTGGTCTCTCTCTCTCTCTCTGGTCTGTCTGAATGTAGTCTCTCTCTCTCTGGTCTGTCTGAATGTGGTCTCTCTCTCTCTGGTCTGTCTGAATGTAGTCTCTCTCTCTCTGGTCTGTCTGAATGTGGTCTCTCTCTCTGGTCTGTCTGAATCTGGCCTCTCTCTCTGGTCTGTCTGAATGTAGTCTCTCTCTCTCTGGTCTGTCTGAATGTAGTCTCTCTCTCTCTGGTCTGTCTGAATGTGGTCTCTCTCTCTGGTCTGTCTGAATCTGGCCTCTCTCTCTGGTCTGTCTGAATCTGGTCTCTCTCTCTGGTCTGTCTGAATGTGGTCTCTCTCTCTGGTCTGTCTGAATGTGGTCTCTCTCTCTGGTCTGTCTGAATGTGGTCTCTCTCTCTCTGGTCTGTCTGAATCTGGTCTCTCTCTCTCTGGTCTGTCTGAATCTGGCCTCTCTCTCTGGTCTGTCTGAATGTAGTCTCTCTCTCTCTGGTCTGTCTGAATGTGGTCTCTCTCTGGTCTGTCTGAATGTGGTCTCTCTCTGGTCTGTCTGAATATGGTCTCTCTCTCTCTGGTCTGTCTGAATGTGGTCTCTCTCTCTGGTCTGTCTGAATATGGTCTCTCTCTCTCTGGTCTGTCTGAATGTAGTCTCTCTCTCTCTGGTCTGTCTGAATGTGGTCTCTCTCTGGTCTGTCTGAATGTGGTCTCTCTCTGGTCTGTCTGAATATGGTCTCTCTCTCTCTGGTCTGTCTGAATGTGGTCTCTCTCTCTGGTCTGTCTGAATATGGTCTCTCTCTCTCTGGTCTGTCTGAATGTGGTCTCTCTCTCTCTCTCTGGTCTGTCTGAATGTGGTCTCTCTCTCGCTCTCTGGTCTGTCTGAATGTGGTTTCTCTCTCTCTAGTCTGTCAGAATGTGGTCTCTCTCTCTCTGGTCTGTCAGAATGCGATCTCTCTCTCTCTCTCTCTCTGGTCTGTCTGAATCTGGCCTTTCTCTGAACAAATTGCATTCATAATTACTATATGTTTGTACACGTTTGCAATGGCTTGGATTAGGTCTAATTCAAGAAAATGGCCCTATGTTGTCAGAGTGCTGTTTATTTTCCATAATATATATTTTTTACACACTGGCATTGGTTCCACGTGGAAATAGGAGAAGCAAAAGAGCTTGAAGATTGCGTAATACAACCAAAATAATCAATGTTATGTGATTAAAGCTATGCCTATAGATGATGAAATGTAGAATGGGAACAACAAACACTTAAAGTGATAGTCTGGAACTTTAAATGAATTACAAATTATAAGAACTGTATTAAATTGACCTCCTGGCCTTAAATGTTGATATAAATGAAAGTCATTTTTAAAAGTGAACCGTTGTGACAAAGTGTACAAACTACTGACGGAATAATCTTAGTATTTTACACTCTTGAATTACAAGCACAGAGTGCGTTGCCAAAGGGCAGCGGTCATTATTGGCTTGATAAAGAAATAATGATCAGAAGAACGTTTTTAAATTAAATCCAAATCAATGGAGCATTCTATTGCTGCTGTGAGCAGCTGTATAACAAATTATGATTAAATATTAAAATATTTAAATGAATAATCTCTCCTCTGCACATCTTGGACCATTGACCTGGTGCTTGCACGGAAAAGTGCACGGCTTCAAGACCAATCAGAAGGAAGGGGGAGGGAGCTTAGGTCGTTTGGGGGACATAGTGCTTGTGAGCATATGCCTCCAGCCTGAGTTCTCACTCTCCTGTGACTGTAAACAAGTACTGCTGACGTGTTCGCTGAAGCGGAAGTACCGTTTAATAATAAAATAAACTTATGGCGCTATCCGTGAACACATACTGCTGTTATACTGTATAAAGTCTCTGGAAGGTCTCTGCTTCCAGAGTGGAACAGAACAAATACGGCGGGGAGCTGTTTCACAGCCCAGGAACAAAACAGTGTGAATGCTCTGCCAGCTATGACCTCAGCACACGTACATTTGGAAATGCGCAGGAGCTGTGAACGTAACAACAATGACGGTGGGTGAACTTATGCTACGTGTTACACAGCGCTACACGGAGGATTCTGTGATTTTGTCCGTCCAAACGAAACCACACAAAGCTAAAACAAATAACGTTTTTTTCCTGCTACTGTTAAATGCAGAATGATGTTGGTGCATTCTTTCCCGTTTTGCAGTGGCCTGAGGAGGATGTTGTTGAGGAAGTAACTATACTGTTGGAGGTCACGTGTGTTGTGTTGTAAAGTTTCACTGCCCACTACTGGCCAAACGCTAGAACTACTAAGGGGCTTGGACGTTTTTGCTAATTGCTTTGCAACGTCTCTGCAGTGTCTCCGTCTAAACTGGGCCTTAGTTTTGCCTTGATCTGGCTCCTTTTGACAGATTTTTTGGGCAATTTTTTTCATATAGGCATTTCTTCCATGGCGTTAGCTTTGTGCTGTAACAGGGATAGATGTGTTGCTGAGGGAAGCTGGCATCTGATTGGTCAGCCTTTTAGATATCTGAACTTTACAAATCAGAGTAGAGTATGGTGGAGTAGAGCTTTCACATCAAAGCCAATTACTTGTAGAGACTTTTCATTGTCTGTTAATGTGAGAAATGTGGGAAACGAGGGTGTGCATTCCAGAGACCCGGAGACATGTGCCCGACCGTGACTGACGAGCCTGCGCACAGGCGCCGCGTGTGCGTACGTGCACGCGCCTTGCCAGTTCTTCTCAGCGCTGCGGGGGTGGAGAGCAGAGAAGACCACACACTCTGCAATACCCCCAAATAGACACACTTCAGCCCGAATCGTCCAGTTTGGGAGCGGGAGTCTTCCCGCTTCCAAACTGAAAACTCCCAAACAATGCTTAGGCATTGGTGCTGCAGTCTAGTGTCGAGAACAAGGACAAACTAAGACTAACCTTAAAACTCGGACTCATCCAAAGTCAACCAGTGATAATGTACGCTCATAGTCCATATAATCTCAAAACCCCTCTTGGTTTTGCCGTCGAGGGTAAAGACCAGGACTAAACTAAGACTTAAGGCCAATAATGATCATTTAGACATACAATGTTAGGACTTGGTTTTGTAGCCCAATAACTTCAAAACAAGTCCCAAAGTATTTGTTTTGCGGTTTAAACCAGGACTAAACCAGACCAATCTAAAGACTATCCCATAAATGTTCTTGCCGGCGCAGGAGGGTCTAACACAAGAATAGCGGTGATGATCCAGGACACTCAACATTCAACAACATTTGTGGACATTGGTCTTCTGCCTCTTATGGACCAATGGCTCTATATTTTTTGTATCCATTGCCTTTCTTTTGTTTAAACTCTTTGATTCTGTGTGTTTTGTGAAGTCCTCAAAGATAACAACAGTTATGATTTAATAAATTTAATGGCATGTCCTGGATTATAGCTCTTGGGCCAATCCATAGTCTAAAAATGTCGCAACTACATTTGGTTTTGCAAAGACCAACACTAAACTAAGACTATAGAGGCATAAAAATAAATTGTGGACCAATCGAAAGCCAACTTGTTCATCTATTTATTTGTCACTATCTAACTAAGATTACAGAATGTCTTTTTCAAGGGAGTACTGGCCCAGCTATTGAACAGGTTTTTAGTGGTAGGGGAAAACCGGAGCACGTGAAGGAAACTTACGCAGGCATGGGGAGAATTGTAGCGGTTGTCAATCTTCAAAACCGTAATGAAATCCTTAAAACTAGTTAGAAAACACTGGTCTCTGTCACAACGTCTTCAACAGAATAAGTGAGGCTGAGTGAGAGAGGGTGAGTGAGTGAGGGTGAGTGAGTGAGGGTGGGTGAGTGAGGGTGAGTGAGTGAGGGTGGGTGAGTGAGTGAGGGTGAGTGAGTGAGGGTGAGTGAGTGAGGGTGAGTGAGTGAGGGTGAGTGAGTGAGGGTGGATGAGTGAGGGTGAGTGAGTGAGGGTGAGTGAGTGAGGGTGGGTGAGGGTGGTCCTCTCTTTATCAATCAGCTCTCATCCCAAAACAAAAGCATCAAACAATGACTCATTGGGGGATTTTATGTAATTTTGCATGTTGTGGTCTAAGTTGTTTGCATTATATATTACTAAACTCTTGAAAGTTACGTACCCCAGCTTTACTATCACTCAGCTTTGACTGATGTAAAATGCATGTTAAAAGGCCCTGATGGGATTTTCACGTCGTTTGCGTAAGAACAAGTGTGCGTGCGATTAAAAGAAACATATTGACGTGAAAAGGGCATTGCGTTCCCACAGATATAAGAACGCAGGCAAAGAAGAACACAGAAAACAGGCCAAATTCAGACGCAGTTTTTGGCATTTAACGCGTGATTTCCCCAGTTGTTTTTGCGACGTTCCCACAAATCACGCGTCGTATTGTGCAATCTCTGCGTGGATTAGGCACGCCGACCACGCACGGCAGACGCACGCGAGCGAAATCAGTCCATAAAGTTCACAGTTTACCCCCACGCAAGAGCAAAGCAGAAGTTTCTAATGTAAGTTTGTGGAAATGCAGGCGGTTGGCTTCACTTACCGTGTCAGAGCCCGCGTCCGAAGCCAAAGGGGTTCCTCAGGCGGCGCTGTCGGAGCATGAGGGCCAAGCTGCGGTCCGCGGGCTCTTTACGCACGGGAGACTGATGAGAGAGGGGCGTACAGCAGTGATGAGAAGGATACTATGAGAAATACATTTAGTTACAGAATAATGAATAGGTTGCGTTCATGTTGTAGAGTTGGATTGGCAACTGTGAAAATACAAATCAAAGGGAATTAACCAATTTTTGAAGGAAAATCTGACTTATGTGTTGTTTTTTTTAATATTGTCACCACTTCTAGACACCCTTATGAGAAAATGATACCATAGTTGATTTGTGATTCGAGAAAGAGACCAGCCAGAGGGAGACCAGATAGACTAGAGAGTGAAGAGGAAACACCAGGGAGAGAGAGAGACCAAAGAGGGGGAGAGACCAGGGAGAGAGAGGAAGAGGCTAGGACCAGACATGCCAATAAAAGTATTGGGCCATTGAGACGTGGTTCTTCATCTCATATCTAAAGTGAATGTGGATTATGCTGTGTGTGCGTCTGTGTGTGTGTGTGTGTGTGTGTGAGTGTGTCTGTGTTCTTGTTCTTGAGGTAGAAAGAGCTGATGCTGCAGATTCCCATCCTCTCCTCTCAGTCTGCCTCAGGGCGACTGCGGTGACACAGAACTGTAAAGCCTCTTTCTCACTATTGTAAATGTTTGTGAAACGCATAGGATTCATCTATAACAACGACAAACCCTGGTTCACTGCTAAACTCCGGCAGCTCAGGAAAGCAAAGGAGTCTGCTTTCAGGGAGGGGGACCGCAGCGGCTACAAAGCAGCTAAATATCAGTTCAGGAAAGAACTGAAAGCAGCCAAGTCCCGGCACAGAGAACGACTACAGGAGCAGTTTGGTAACAACGATACTGCTTCTGTCTGGAGGGGCCTACGGGAGATCACCAACTACAAACCCAAAGCCCCCCCCTGTGCTGACGACCACAAGCTAGCTGACGAACTGAACTTATTTTTCAGTCGCTTTGATGCTGCCCCTGACACCTCTCCCTCCCCCACCACCCACTACTCTAACGACCCACCCATCAGCCCTGCCCCCAGCCTAACAATAGCCTCTAAAGACATTAAACAACTCTTCCTGAGGCTGCACCCCCGCAAAGCTCCTGGCCCGGACCACGTGTCTCCGGCCACTCTGAGACACTGCGCCAGTGAGCTTACTCCTGTGTTCACTGACATTTTCAACACCTCTCTGCAGTCCTGCCATGTCCCGGCCTGCTTCAAATCCTCCATCATTGTCCCCGTCCCGAAGAAGCCCAGGATCACAGGACTCAATGACTACAGACCTGTAGCACTTACGTCTGTCGTCATGAAGTCATTTGAACGCCTGGTTCTCTCCCATCTCAAGTCCCTCACCTCCCCCCTCCTGGACCCCCTGCAGTTCGCCTACAGAGCCAACAGATCTGTAGACGACGCCATTAACCTGGCCCTCCACCACATCCTACAGCACCTGGACTCCCCGAGGACCTACGCCAGGGTCCTGTTCGTGGACTTCAGCTCTGCCTTCAACACAATCCTGCCATCCCTGCTCCAGGACAAGCTCTCCCAGCTCAACGTGCCCGATTCCACCTGCAGGTGGATCACTGACTTCCTGACGGACAGGAAGCAGCGAGTGCGTCTGGGGAAGAATGTCTCGGACTCTCGGTTTATAAATACAGGAGCCCCACAGGGCTGTGTTCTTTCTCCCCTGCTCTTCTCCCTGTACACCAACCACTGCACCTCCAGCCACGACTCTGTGAAGCTGATCAAGTTCGCGGACGACACCACCCTCATTGGACTCATCTCCAACAACGATGAGTCCGCCTACAGGAGGGAGGTGGACCGGCTGGTGTCCTGGTGCAGTGGTAACAACCTGGAGCTGAACGCCCAGAAGACAGTGGAGATGATTGTGGACTTCAGGAAGAGCACTGTCCCCCCGCCCCCACCCTCCGTGATGGACTCCCCCATCACCTCTGTGGAGTCCTATCGTTTCCTGGGCACCACCATCACCCAGGACCTCAAGTGGGAGCCGACCATCAGCTCCCTCATCAAGAAGGCCCAGCAGAGGATGTACTTCCTGCGGCAGCTCAGGAAAGCCAAGCTGCCTGCACAGATGTTGGTGCAGTTCTACACGGCCATCACCCTGTCCATCCTCACCTCCTCCGTCACCGTGTGGTTCGCTGGAGCCACTGTCAGGGACAAACAGAGACTACAGCGCATTGTGCGCTCTGCAGAGGAAGTGATCGGCCGCAGCCTTCCATCGCTGCAGGACCTGTACGTCGCCCGAGCTCGAGGCCGGGCTGGTCGTATCACAGCCGACCCCTCTCACCCTGCACATGGACTATTCCAACCACTCCCCTCAGGCAGGAGGCTGCGGTCCATCAGGACTAGAACCTCCCGCCACAAGAACAGTTTCTTCCCCTCTGCTGTTGGACTCTTGAACACTTCTTAACCTGTCCCCCCGCCCTTTATAAAGTCACTTTACTGCCCATCATACGTCACTTTACTTCACTGTACTGCTGTCACCTTACATTGTGTGCACCATGTGCACTTGTATATTGTAAATAGTAACTGTAACTCTATTTTAAATTTAAATTTATTCTTTAGAAGTGTTTTTTTATTCTTATTTTTATTATCTCTTTTTGACTGTTGCACTGAGCCAAAGCAATTTCCTAGTCTGTGACCTCCTGTTACTTACGTGGCAATAAAAATGATTCTGATTCTGATTCTGATTCTGATTCAGAAATGGTAAACAATTACTTCTGTGAACGACCCATTAACTCTAATAACCATGTCAGTTATATCCTTAATGTTATCTAAGACTCACAAGTAAGAATCTGTATTACAGCTGTATTCGGAAGCTGTCGATACTGGTTTTAGATTTTATTTTTTTAAACGTCTTTTACCAAAACCTTGAGAGACTGCTGTTGCGATTTTGGACTGTTCGCACTGTAATGGATTCGGTGTTCACAAGTGACAAGCATGGTTACTTTTTTATCTTTTATCTATCTAGAACTGTAAAAATGTGTGTAAAATGTGTGAAAAAGCCTTCAGCTTCAGGGAGTTGGCAAAGAAACTGGACAATTTTCCAAACTGTCAAACGCATTGATTGCCTTGACGTCCATTTCACGTCTCCAATAACTTGATACTGATATTTCTTTGGCTTAATATCAAGTATTGGCCTTTGGAGTTGTTTTGAAGTTGTACACATTGCTAATTCGCTCCGGCTCTCCGGTTTAAATGAAAGTTGCACATTTCGATTGTAACATGTAACATCTCATCACATGTCACATTATGATACCAGCTCGATTCGTACACATATCTGGCAACCTGAGTTGGGAAGAGTGGGAGAGGTTGCAATAGCACTTGTGGCCAGATTGCTACTTTAAAGTGATTGTCTGGAGTTTGTCAGAAAGAGAGACAGAGAGGTACTTGATTTGAAAAAAAACGAAGCAAGCTCCCTCCTCCTTCCTTTCTGATTGGTCTACACCTACGTTTCCGTAACACTTTAAAATGTTAATCAGAGAACATATTATACATATACATTATTAATACACATGCACGGAGGTTTTCAGAATTATTTGTGAACGTTTTAATGAAAAAAAATATGTTTTTATGCACACAAAAAAGCGATTGCGGCAAACCAGGAAGTGCTATTATCATGAATTGCACATCATAGGACACATCTGCAGAGGATCTGATTATGGATATAGCTTCAGTATATACATAAGTACCTCAGCGTGGATGTTCAGAATTCTTTGTTCAGTTTTCATGTAGTTCCAGAGCCTAATAGAGGCTCCGCGAAAACAAACAACTGAGCATGCGCGCAGCTGCGAGCATCAGCGCCGATGATTGACAGCCCTTGGCATGACTCGATTGGTTAACCTCGACGGCACCGTGGATTCTGAACTATAGCTAAGAGAAGGGAAGGCGGGACTTGCCCGTAATATTAGAATTAATAAAATGATTTTTATATCAACATTTAAGGCCAGGAGGTCAATTTAACACATTTCCTAAAATTTGTAATTCATTTAGAGTTACAGACTATCACTTTAAGTCTCAGATTCTTATAGCCAAATAAAAAACTGCCTTATATTTTACTTAAATAGAAAAATACAAGAACTATTGTAATTTATGAACTATAAACAGCTCCTTTTTTAAAAATAGTTTTTTGAACCCTGCGGCTTATTATAATACGGATAATATATATATATTGGCCGTATAGCTGGTCTCTCTGGTCTCTCTGGTCTCTCTCTCTGGTCTCTCTCTCTGGTCTCTCTCTCTGGTCTTTCTCTCTGGTCTCTCTCTCTGGTCTCTCTCTCTGGTCTCTCTCTCTGGTGTCTCTCTCTGGTGTCTCTCTCTGGTGTCTCTCTCTGGTGTCTCTCTCTGGTCTCTCTCTCTGGTCTCTCTCTCTGGTCTCTCTCTCTGGTCTCTCTCTCTGGTCTCTCTCTCTGGTCTCTCTGGTCTCTCTCTCTGGTCTCTCTCTCTAGTCTCTCTCTCTGGTCTCTCTCTCTGGTCTTTCTCTCTGGTCTCTCTCTCTGGTCTCTCTCTCTGGTCTCTCTCTCTGGTCTCTCTCTCTGGTCTTTCTCTCTGGTGTCTCTCTCTGGTCTCTCTCTCTGGTAGCTATCTCTGATCTCTCTGCTCTCTTTCTCTGGTCTCTCTCTGGTTATTGTGGGAGAGTTGTCAAAGCAGAGTTTATGTACTTATTATTTTAGTTGACTCTTGTTTATTGTCAATTACATGAAGGTGAATGCGGTTCTAGCATGTACTAATGATAAAAGGTTATGAATTACTTAATTGTAATAAAATTTATATAAAAAAAATAATAATAATCAGAATTCCACAGATTTTAATGGGAGCCGTTAAAATAAGTGGTTTAAATACTGGTGTGACTTATGGTCCAGAGAGCACAGTATGGTGCTTTAGATTGATCCTGGGAATATGCTGCTATAATGTATACATTACATATCGTCCATTCAAACACTATAGTGACCGATTTCATTTTAATACTAGATATTTAAATCAAAATATATTGGGCAAGTTCAACCTTAATTTTTGGCCATTTGTACAGTTTATACTTATACCTTACACCCATATATTTGATATAGAGGCATTTGCGATAGTTGACTGATAAAATGATTCTTCTGGGAGGTACTTTGACCTAATGGTTGGAGACCCCTGATTTAAAGTCATTTTTTCCGTTTTCATCACAGCTACTGCACCATATACAAATGGATATTCCTCATTTGTGAAGGCAATTTCAATGGCAACACAAACAATTCTGATTCTGAATTATAATAAAATGTAATAATTAAATAATTGTATTGAATAAACAATAAATTATACTTTTTATTTGTAATGCAGACGTAATATTGTATAGCGTTAATATATCAGTGCTCATCCAAAGTATTTTTTATCCTCCTGTATTCAAGCACCATATGTTGGACAATCCACTCTTACCTGAGGCGTGACTTGTTGAAAAATGTACAATAATATCATGAGCATGCTGTCAAACTGCAATTCCAGGTCCTTCACTGATGGAGACTTTTAAAACCAAAGTATCGCCTCCAAACTAGTTTAGTGAATTTCTGTCTTAACAGCTGTTTTCTTTCCCTTTTACCTCGCCATGTTGGATTTATATGTAAATAAATCAGAATGCAATACCCCACTACTACCACAAGATGACAGTGTTGGCAAATTAGTCTTCTTCATGCACTACATTAAACACATTTTTTCATATTTTTTTAATCATCTTGCATACTTAAAAACTAAATACCAAAAGGAATATTGTCAAAAATCATCATATAATGCACTATATATATTTTATTTTTATTGTTTTAAGCTGATTTAATTAGCAGAAACTGAGAATATTACAGATTATCCGCCTGCTTTAAATATAACAATATTCTCTGCAGTGGGCGGAAAGCATCTATAGGAGCTGTTCAAACCAATTGGAAATTTTTCTCAATATATATATTTAACGAACGATTGTAAGATAACTACTTTTAAAAATAAATGTTTCTTTATGCCTCACAGATCGGACCAGAAACGTTTCATGTTCAAAGCAAGTTAATTGACAAGTAGCTGGCTATAGATACTGTCTATACATTTTTGCTGAATGCTTTTGAAAATCAATAGAGTGATCACATTATTTTGAATATATAGCAGCATTTATCTCCAGACTTTTAACAAACACACACATCTTCACCTCACACCAAAACACCTTTAAAAATAGCTTCCCATTTTAGATTCAATGTTGCATTCTTTTCGACGGAATTTTTGACAACGCTTGTGCATCTTTCCATGTCCAAATGTCAATCTATATTTCCTTAAATACTTTTCTCCCATTGTTATTACTATTCCCTAATTCTACTGTTCTCACTCTTTCAAAAACCAAATCTATTTAAGCCACCAAGCAATTTCTATATTAACACTAAGCAATTTCTACTAACTGAGTGTGACTGAGCTGCAGAAAAACTGATTTATTTGTCAGCATTTGAACATTAATTTTAAACCCTATTTCCCCCTAAAATGTGCAACACTCTCTATCTTCTGCAGGAAACGTGCAGGAAAGCCCAGACTTTCTGCTGTAGATTCCCCCTTGACAACTTGTGCATGGCTTCTTTTGTGAATGAATTTCTCTCTTGCAGCAGAAACAGCAGCAGTTGCCTTGAGCGCATTGCTGATTTTAATTGAGCGTGTGTGTCTCTGCGTGACAGCAAAAACGCAAGACTGGAAAGAGGAGTAAATGATGTAAAATGGTCAGTATAGAGGACAGTTCTTACCGTGCTCCAGCCGCGGTCCTCTCACGCAGCTGTCTCGTCTTGTCTGAATCAAATCTATGCGCACGCCGGCTCTATACACCTCCACCTCCACCCCCTCCTCTCCGCCTCTTCTCCCCGGCTTCGGAGCTCGGAGAGTGGGGGAGTTCTTGGATCGCTCCCCCCCTACGCACTGCGCTCTCTGCGGCTGCTCCTCTGCCCACGTCCTGCGCGCTGCCCACAGAACTATAAGCCCCGGTCCTTTGAGAGAGAGGTCTCCGAACGCACTTCAATGGGTTTTTACATGATAGCGGGCGCACGGGGGGCGGAAGTGGTTCGCCCACCACCGTGCGCTCTTGTGCCCTTGGGCCAGACACTCGAACGTGTAGAGTGTGTGAGATGGCTGTTGGTTTAGCAGCGTTTCTGTGTAAATGACAAGTTTTTTATGTGAGCGGTGAAGACTGCAGGTATTTTTGCTGCAATTTGCTCCTATATATATTATATCTACATAATGTGTGTATGTATATATAAATGCATACACATTTATATATACATACACACGCACAGACACGTTTGTCTCCCTGTGTAGGTTCCTCCAGGTACTCCGGTTTCCCCTACCACTAAAAACATGCACACCAGGTTAAATCCTCCAGCTCTAGTCCTGACCTAGCCGAACGCCAACATCTGGAGATGGGTTTCTGGGCGCTGTTCTACGGTGACCACTGCTCCTGATGTAAGCCTTAGCGGCATCAGGATGGGTCAAATGCAGAAGATTGAATAATATATATATTAACTATACTGTATATATATGCTGTGCCTTTGCTACGTGCTGTCTCTGGTGTGACTTGTGTGTAGTTGTATAACCGTCTTCACCTTGATCCACGTGTAGTTGCTGCTGAGGTGATCTGTGTGCTCAGGTTTATGTCACTGGAGACACCTGGATATTGATTCAACTTTTTATTTGCAATAGAAATCTCAAAATCAACAACTGTGATATTTCCCGTTGTTCAATATGACCCCTGACTGTAGCAGAGGCCTGAGTCTATACTGCACCTGTGAGCTGGTCTACAGCCAAAGTCCTGGGTCTGCAGCATGAGTAAATAAGGATCAGAGAGGGAGAGACCAGAGCGAGAGGGAGAGACCAGAGCGAGAGGGAGAGACCAGAGCCAGAAGGAGAGACCAGAGAGAGGGAGAGACCAGAGAGAGACCAGAGAGACTAGAGCCAGAGCCAGAGCCAGAGGGAGAGACCAGAGCGAGAGGGAGAGACCAAAGCGAGAGGGAGAGACCAGAAAGAGAGACCAGAGCCAGAGGGAGAGACCAGAGATAGAGGGAGAGACCAGAGCGGGAGGGACAGACCAGAGCGAGAGGGAGAGACCAGAGAGCATGGTTCACTGCAGGGTTAGGGTTAGAGGACAGTGATGATCCGGGACATTCCACATTTCTGGACAGTGATAATCTCGCTCTCTATGGATCAGGCCAGAGATACATAAAATTAGTGATAGAAGCAAACTGTACAAAAACCTCTCACCTGCGATGGCGAAAACGTTGTTATGAACCTGAAATCCACCTAACAGCAGTGAGATGCAGGTTTCTGAATTTAGCTCTACATTAGTTCTCCCTGCTGCACTTTCCAAAGATGTAATAGCTGCGTTCGCTGTTGACACCTGCTCCATAAGAGCCATCAGGAGATGTGTAATCACTGTGGTTATAAGAGCAGGAGGAGACAGGCTTTCAAACCGACTCAAGCCTTAAAGGAGACCTATCATGCTCACACGCCCTGTATTTTAACCTATTGATTCTTCCAAATGTTCAAGTATAATGAAACATGTGGACTCTTAAACTTACAACTAGTTAATACTTAAACCAATATTTTTGTGGATACAAGTGAGAAAAGACTTGTAATGAATTGTTTATGATAGATATAAATTAGAACATTTCAGCAGTAAATATTTCATTGTTCAGAAATAAACAAAGAATGGCTTGAAATAAGTTTTTCACTAATACAAAAAGCAAAAGCAATAACAATCAGAATCAGAATCATTTTTATTGTCACGTAAGTAACAGGAAGTCACAGACACAGACAAATTGCTTTGACAAAGAAGAGAGGTACAGTAAAGAACCGAGACTAGAGTAAGGCATAATAAAAATCAGCAACACTTCTAGGATATACAATTTAAACATTGAATTATTACGTTTGCAATTACAATTACTATGTACAATATACAAGTGCACATGGTGCACACAATATGCAGCAGGCAGTGCAATAAGGTGACGGCAGTAAAGTGACGTTATAATTGCAGGGCGACAGTAGCTCAGTTGGTAGAGCATTGGCCTTTGAGCCAGAAGGTCGTGGGTTCGAGCCCGACTTTCACCGTCGACTCCTGCTGTCGTTGTGTCCTTGACAAGACACTTAACCTCTGGGAAAACCACCCACAGTGGGGCGGCTGTAAAGTGCCAAACTGCCGTTGTGTCCTTAGGCAAGACACTTCACCCGGAATGAGTATGGGTGTGTGTGAATGGTTGGTGGTGGTCGGAGGGGCCGATGGCACATACTGGTTGCCTCGCTTCTGTCAGTGTGCCCCAGGGCAGCTGTGAAGTGTCTTTGAGTGTCCAAAAAAGCGCTATATAAAACATTATATAGCGCATTATTATTATTATTTACAGGGGGCAGTAAGGTGACGTATAAAGAGCGGGGGGAAAATAATATATATCTTCTATTTACCTTTTATCATCCAAATAAGTGGCAAATAAGTATTTGGTATACAAATACTTATCTTAAGATTTGTGGCTCTCACCTGTAACTCCTTCTTTAGGAGATAGATAGAAAGAAATATACTTTATTGATCCTCGTATAGGAAAAAAATCAGGTGTCCAGCAGCAGAAAACACAGTCATAAAAACACATAAATACATACATTATAAACATTTCTGACAAACTACCTAAAAGTAGTGCATATGGATGAACTCAATATGAAAGACATGTGTCCACAACCTCAAACAGTCACACTCCAAACTCCACTGTGGCCAAGACCAAAGAGCTGTCAAAGGACACCAGAAACAAAAATGTAAGAGCAATTATAAAAAAAATGGAAGATATACAAGACACTGATAGTCTCCCTCAATCTGGGGCTCCACGCAAGATCTGTGGGGCCGAGTGAATGACCTGCAGAGAACTGGGACCAAAGTAACAAAGGCCACCATCAGTAACACACTACGCCGCCAGGGAAGCCTGCCGTGTCAGACGTTAAGCCAGTACATGTCCAAGTCCGTCTCAGAATCAGAATCAGAATCAGAATCAGAATCATTTTTATTGCCACGTAAGTAACAGGAGGTCACAGACTAGGAAATTGCTTTGGCTCAGTGCAACAGTCAAAAAGAGATAATAAAAATAAGAATAAAAAACACTTCTAAAGACGATTGGGAGAATGTCATGTGGTCAGATGAAACCAAAATAGAACTATTTGATAAAAACTCAACTCCTTGTGTTTGGAGGTTGAGTTGCATCCAAAGAACACCATACTGTGAAGCATGGGGGTGGAAACATCATGCTTTGGGACTGTTTTTCTGCAAAGGGACCAGGACGACGTGTAAAGGAAAGAATGAATGGGGCCATGTATTGTGAGATTTTGAAAATAAAAACCTCCTTACAACAGCAAGTACATTGAAGATGAAACATACTCCATAGAAAATCTTTGGAGGGATTCAACAGCCCCAAAACATCACTGCTCTAGAGGAGATCTGCGTAGAGGAATGGGTCAAAATACCAGCAACAATGTGTGAAAACCTTGTGAAGACTTACAGAAAACGTTTGAGCTCTGTCATTGCCAAAAAGGGTAAATAAAGTATTGAGATGAACAAACATTTATTTTACGTTAAAAATTGGATTTTCTGTATTTTTTTTCTCATTCTGTCTCTCATTGTTGTTGATTACCTATGATGAAAATGTCAGACCTCCCTCCTCTTTGTAAGTGGGAGAACTTGCACAATTCGTGGGTGATGAAATACTTTTTTGCCCTACTGTACATAGATAGAAATGTCAATATAATGAAGCCTTTACAGCTAGCTAAGAAACATAGCAGCTACTCATATTGTATATTTTGTGTGCTCCCTGTGTGCTCTTGCTGCTGCCCTGTATGTGCCCTGCAACACTGAAATGTCTCCCTTTGTGGGGACCAGAAAAGTTCTATTGGGATTTTAGAATCTATTTTTCAAGTTAGTCATGGCCTTAGGGAGCGCTATTAGTAGTAAGTAAGTAAGTAAGTATTTATTTATATACCGCCTTTTCACTGCAGATCTGAGTCTCAAAGCGGTTTACAATTGTTAATTATGGGCATTTGTCTCTCACTCCACACAGAGATGGGAGCGGGGTCGCCAGTACAGGAGGCGCATGCTAGAACTATTGGACATATTTTTAGTGGTAGGGGAAACCGGAGTACCCGGAGGAAACCTACGCAGACACGGGGAGAACATGCAAACTCCACTCAGAAAGGCCCTGGTCCGACCGGGATTCGAACCCAGGACCTTCTTGCTGAGAGGCGAGAGTGCTATCCACTCAGCCACCGTGCCTATTGTCAATGTATTTATTGGTATAGGGGAAACCGGAGAACCTGGAGAAAACTTCCACTCATAAAGGGCCTGTCTGGAGGTGGAACCCAGAAGCTTCTTGAGAAATGAGAATGCAGATAAGGATAACATTAGTAATGAAAATGCAAACATAAAATTAGTTTGTTTTACTTTATTTATGAAACAGAATATATTGCCTTGTTATATAAACTTATCTATAGTTTTTCTGCTTTCAAACTCGTCTATACCTGCACATTTTGAAGCATTTTTCAACACCAAGAGCATAACATTTTCCCCAAATCCTTTCCGACATAACCTCCACTGCTCTTTTTGAATTTGAATATGTCCAACCTGCTCTGCAACGCGGTTTAAAAATAGTGCTTTCAATTCCTCTCTGCTTCCCACTGCGAGGAGGCGGAGGAGTTCAGCGTGGCATGGGTTAAGCCAGGAAATTACCACTTGTGCATGATACCATCTCAAACGGACACTTTGATGGAGCCAAAACGCTTTTTCAAATTCATCAAAAAAAGGGACAGAAAATGATTGAAATTTGCCTGTAATTAATTTTTTTCACTCGCTCGGTTTGAGACTTTTCCCCCCAAAACCTTCGTTAGTTTGACATTCGGCAAGACCTCATTTACTCGTGTTTTAATGGGAGGAATTTTGAATAAACTTGCGTCGTCCCATGCTCTCACTTTAAAGCTGGGGTACGTAACTTAGACTTTAAACTAGAATCAATACAACAAAATAATAAAATCCATTTCTCTAGTTATTGGCTCTTAATCATTTTTTGCCCCGTCTGGAGGTGGAATCAAACTCAGGAGCTTCTTGCTGAGAAGTGAGATTGCAGTTGATAATAACAATAGTAATAATAATGTATGGATATTTACGTTTCAATGATAATATGAAATGTATAAAACGTATAAATACATCTCCCCTTTAGACAGAATACGTAACTTTCAATCCACTGCAATAAAACATGTAATGGAATCCATGTCCCTGGTTCTCAGTTTGCGTCAATCACTCGTTTTATTTATTTTTGGCCTCTGTCGCATCTTTAGATCAGCTTTTTCAGCCAATCAGTGATCACCCAAATAGTCAAATTGTGGCTAATGAGATAAAATGGTGATTTAAAGCCTTAAAGTCCTGTTTACACCATCCCCTACTAGAGAGAGAGAGAGAGAGAGAGAGAGAGAGAGAGAGAGAGAGAGAGAGAGAGAGAGAGAGAGAGAGAGAGAGAGAGACTTTAGCTCTTCTTGACCCTGGTGGAGAGACCAGAGAGAGAGACCAGAGAGACCGACCAGAGAGACCGACCAGAGAGAGACCAGAGAGACCGACCAGAGAGAGAGAGAGACCAGAGAGAGAGAGAGAGACCAGAGAGAGAGAGACCAGAGAGAGAGAGAGACCAGAGAGACCAGAGAGAGAGAGAGAGAGACAGAGAGAGACTAGAGAGAGAGAGAGAGAGAGACCAAAGAGAGAGCAGAGAGAGAGAGAGAGAGAGAGAGAGAGCGAGAGACCAGAGAGAGAGACCAGAGAGAGAGAGAGAGAGAGAGAGAGAGAGAGAGAGAGAGAGAGAGAGAGAGAGAGAGACTTTAGCTCTTCTTGACCCTGGTGGAGAGACCAGAGAGAGAGAGACCAGAGAGACCGACCAGAGAGACCGAGAGAGAGAGAGAGAGAGAGAGACCAGAGAGAGAGAGAGAGACCAGAGAGAGACTAGAGAGAGAGAGAGAGAGAGAGAGAGAGAGAGAGAGACTTTAGCTCTTCTTGACCCTGGTGGTTCTATCCAGGCCAAGCTGGTACTAAAGTATTCTAACCAACAGTGATTGTCCAGAGTGCTGCTGGAAGCCATGGTTACCAATACATTTCTCTGGATACTACTTTGTTGTATGTAGGCTCCTAAGTCGAGGGAGAGGAGAGCAAGTGAAAACGGTGACTGGTGTGTCAATGACGCAGTATTTAACCCGCCTTGTGACCCAGTGTTTTTTGCCTGGATCCAACCAAATATAGCTGTAATTTATGCAACAATAAAAGTAAACTGTTTTCCCGGTGGGTAAACAGGTAAAAGTGGGTCAGCTGAAGACTGTTAGAAGATCCCACAGAAGTCTCACCAGGGTTAGAAC